CCCCTCATTACTCCGCGTGTGTTGTACCTGCCTGCATCCAACAGAGTTTGCAGAAGATTCAGATAGTGAGGTGGTCAGTGGGGAGCCTGGGCAAGTCTAACGAAGGCTCTGATGATGGCTCTGTGTCAGAGGCAGAGAGGTGGCCAAAGCCGTTTGCCTGGTATCAGCAGCCTGAAGAGTCAGACATCAGTGAGGCAGATGAACAGCTGGAGCCTGTTCTCAGTGTGTGCATGTGCAGAGTTGCCAGATGAAGCTAAAGAACAGGGGTCAACTTGGGAGTAAGGCCACAGGTGGACGATGAATGGCTCCTCCCAGAGGAAATAAAAGAGGAGTGAAAGGCGAGTGGAGTTTGCAGGAGACAATTAGTTCGCTTAATTGGTTAATCTCTGAAGTTAATCTCTGAGATTTGCAGATATAGGCCTGGCAGCTCTCCAAGCCAGATAAGGTCTGTGACTGTAAATCCTCCCTTGAAAGACTTTGCTGGATATGAACGAGCAGAATTCACAGTAAATTAATAAAAGGTGTTTTTGTCGTGACAAGGAGTTTGCTTCATGGTCTTGGGAAGCCTTGGTCAGAGGCTTACCGAGAGCATGAAGTGGTCTTTTGGCACTCATCATTTTTAGTCCTCATTGCGCTTCCTGGAATCAATTAAGGATGAGTACCAAGGTACCACTGCAGTACTTGAACTGGTAATGTCCAGACTGGATTATCACAATGTGTTTTAAATGGGGTAGCTTTTGTGATTATCCAGAGAGCATAAATCTTATTGAGTCCCTTGGTAAAACTGCCTTATACATCTGCTTTTAACTGGATCTGTATACCATTCCTCTTGCTGGCCTTGTTATTCTGGCTTAATATTTTATTATATTATAGTTTAAATTCATTGGCTGCATATATTTAGCAGACTTATTTTATTCTATCATAGTTGTAGACTTCAATCTGTTTTCTCACTTATTTCATATGATAAATTTGGGATTATGCTTATTAATAAAAAGTAGATGATTGGTTCATGCTAATTACTATTCCAGACCAAGACAAACTGCTATGAAAAAAAATAGAATCATGCAGTCTTAAAATCTGGAAGGGGGGAGAAATCCCACATTCTACTAAAAATAATTTACTGAAGCCTAATAATACATTTTGGAAATGGCGATTTCATTCTCAAGGACAAAGGAAATCAAACGCACGTTTCTAAAAAGAAAAAAAAATGTATCCATTTTAGAAGTGAAAGAACAATTCCAAAAATAAGCAGGATTAAATATGGTACTTACCTTTCTGGACTTTATCACACAGCAAATATACTTCATCTCCACCGCGCACTGAGCCTGCGGTCTTATCCATCCGAGATATTTTTAGATTGGAAGCTCCAGGAGACTCTGTAGAATTTAAAAAAAAAAATCAGTGATGTATAAAATTGTTTCTGGGACAATTGTACAACTATGAAAATGTCACCATAAGGCTTATAATTTTGGCTGATTTTAATAAACAGTGAAGAATATAGATGTCAACTTGTAAAGCATTTCCACGTCTGTTATCAAGTTGACATTGAAGGAAAGGGGGAAAAGAATTCCATGCATAGCTTCCGCTAGAGTTGGATCTCAGATTACAGCAGGCTTGTGAGGTGTGCAATTTTACAACCTACTGCAGCACCTCCTCGCAAATGTGATTTATGACACAGACTGAGGGGAGGGGAGAAACGTGGTAAAGTTCAGCCATAATTTAACAGGTTATATCTGACTCCATGGAGGTATTGCCAGAGATGTTGTTCCTAATAAATGACTGGATTGCTTTTGAAGCTTGGCTCAAGGCTCGTAAGTTAATTAGGGCACCTTTCGGAAACCTGACAATAGAACATTAGTGGAAAGGTTGATATTTCAATTTGTGGTAGGTTCTGGAGGCATTCAGAAGGAGGCAAGAAAATTCTACTGATTCCCAAAAAATGAAAAATAAACTATGAAAAAATATGAAACTCTTCTGTCAGAACTCTGATATGAAAATCTGGGTAGAGGACCAGTTCTACCAGTTCGGACTGGTTCGAGCAAACTGGTACCTCCGACGATTAACTGGGAGCAAACCGGTTCGCTCCGATGATCAAGTGGGCCTATGGCATGCGTGCCGGAAGTGGCACACAGAGCCATCTCTCTGGGCACACAAGCAGTCACCGTTTGCGCTTTCGGATTCCGGTGCGCTGGCCTGCTGGTCTTCAGATGTGTGGGAGCGCCAGAAACCAGAAGAGCAGCCACCCGGTGCGCATACGCGTGTCAGGAAGATGATCTTCCGGTTTCTGGCATGTGCATCTGCATTGGCCAAGTGATCTTCGTGCACATGCATGCTAGAAACCAGAAGACCTGGTGGTGCGCCAGAAACCGGAAGATCATCACTCGGTGCCAAAAAGGTTCGCCAACACTGTTATAATAGATGCCCTTAAACCATTTCAAGCGTGCCTATGGATCAAAAGTTAAACTTACTGCTATCATGAATGGGGTCGGAAATAACTGGATTTAATGCTAAAGTGAAGTTTCCACTACTATCACGAAGATAGGCGTTGAAGCGTAAACGAACAATGCTGAGATCCATTGTCTTCTTCAGCTCTTTTGCCTCTTGTTCAATCGATTCTTGCTCAGATTCTGCTAAAACAGATGCTAAGTTATAAATACTATGAACAAACCGGCATCCACATCAAAGCAAAATTTCCTCTAGATCAGTGTTTCTCAACTTTGGCAACTTGCTCAACCTTGGCAACTTGAAGATGTCTGGACTTCAACTCCCAGAATTCTGGGAGTTGAAGTCCAGACATCTTCAAGTTGCCAAGGTTGAGAAACA